AAAATTAGCCAGGCGTGGTAGCACATCCCTGTAATCCCAGCTACTAAGCCGAGGCACAAGAATCACTTGAACCCTGGAGGTGGAGGTTACACTGAGTCAAGATTACGACACTGCACTCCTGCCTGGGTGACAGAGTGAGACCTTGTCTTAAAAACACACACACACACACACACACACACACACACACACACACACAAATCCTGCCTCTACCCCTCTCACAGACGTATCATGAGAACTATTATTTAAGGTGATGGGCATGATCACATTCTGTAAACTCAGATCAGGAGCTGATGAGATGGTCCCCTGGGACCCGGAGTGGAGGAAGGGCAGTCTACTCTCTTGCAGAAGGATCCAGAACACAGGAGAGAGGCCTGGGGGGAAGGAAATGGAATCCCACTGGGCTATAGCTGGGCAGAAGGGGAAGGGGCAGAAGAATCTAGAGGAGAGGGTGCGATGGTTAAAGGACCAAGAGTGCCTCTTCTGCAGCCAGGGATTGAAAATACAGACCACAGCCCCTTTGCCACTGGTATTCCTCCCAGAAGGACCCTGAAAGCCCAGCCTCCAGCCCTCTCCTTGCCCAGCCCCCTCCCCAGACCTGCTTTCACTGCTTTGTCTCACCGCTGAGTTGAACCTTAGGTGACAGATGTTACAGGAAATGAAGAGTTTCTTCTTCAGAGGGGAGGGGACCCCAAACGTGTGGCTGATGACAGCTTTCTGGACCGGGTCCATCTGTGAAGGGAGTGGGAGGGCATAATAACTCTGGGGTTGGCGTGGGAAGCAGGGATTGGGGGCAGCACAAAACTAAAGATGACTGAAGTGGGCCATCGTCAGCTTCTAGGAAGAGCTTTTCCATCCTGTGGATGTTGGAAAAAGAAACACCTGGGCCAGCTGCGGTGGCTCACGCCTGTAATCCCAGCACTTTGAGAGCCCGAGGCAGGCAGATCACCTCAGGTTGGGAGTTCAAGACCAGCCTGACCAACATGGAGAAACTCCGTCTCCACTAAAAAAAAATACAAAATTAGCCAGGTGTGATGGCGTGTGCCTGTAATCCCAGCTACTTGGGAGGCTGAGGCAGGAGAATTGCTTGAACCGGGGAGATGGAGGTTGTGGTGAGCCAAGAGCACCTCCAGCCTGGGCAACAAGAGCAAAACTTTGTCTCAAAAAAAAAAAAAAAAGAAAGAAAGAAAGAAAAAAGAAAAAGAAACAGCTGGCTGGGTGTGGTGGCTCACGCCTGTAATCCCAGCACTTTGGGAGGCCAAGATGGGTGAATAACCTGAGGTCAGGAGTTCGAGACCAGCCTGGCCAAGTGAAACCCCTTCTCTACTAAAAATACAAAAATTAGCCAGGCGTGGTGGCGCGTGGCTGTAGTCTCAGCTACTCAGGAGGCTGAGGCAGGAGGCTTGAACCAGAGAGGCAGAGGTTGCAGTGAGCTGAGACTGTGCCATTGGACTCCAGCCTGGGTAACAGAGTGAGACTCTGCCTTAAAAAAAAAA